ATAGCCTAGTTAAAAGAACACATTCAGAAACCCTGACTTAGTTTTGAAATGCAATTGTATTTTATGGAGGATGAAAGACAAAAGGAGGTCTAGAGGTATGTAGCTTAATGGTAGTGTATGTGCTTAGAATGTACCAGACCCTGGGCTCATTTCTCTAGCACCACAATGGGTGTGAAAGAGTGGAAAAGACTACTAGCAATAACATCTGGTGAAATCTGCATTGGAAGATAGGAATTATCTGTTATGGTGTGGCTCAAAGCTTGAAGAAACATAGCTTTTCAAGATAAAGTGGCTGTCAAACTAATCCTTTCTATACATTCCAGCAAATAGCAGTAAGTCTTTGGAAAAACTGTCTCTTAATGTCCTAAGCCAGCAAGACAGCTCAGTGGATAAAAGTACTTGCCATGCAAGCCTAATGACCTGAGTTTTCTGTGAACAGACACTATGGCCACAATTCTTATAAAAACATTTAATTGGGTGTTTCAGAGGTTTAGTCCATTGTTGTTGATACCGTGTAGGTAGACGTGGTGCTAGAGAGTAATTGAGAGTTCTACATCTGGATCCTCAGGTGGCAGACAGAGTATGACACTGGGCCTGGCTTGAGCCTTTGAAACCTCAAAGCCCATCCCCAGTGACATACTTCCTCCAACAAAGCCACACCTGTTGTTTTGTTTCAGTTACTCTCCATGAAACATGCAAGACTCAACACACCCACATGGAGTTTATTGAGGGAAGAGAACAAGGGGGAGGGTAGATGTTGGCCAACTGGGAACAGAGAAGGGGTGAAGGGGTGAGGGACGCGTGCTTAAAAGGGGAAGCTTACACATGTGTACTGAGCCCTTATGCAGTCCAGTAAAGCATGACATAGCCACCCAACACAGGGCCCTTTGAGCTGTCTTAAGTATCTGCCTGAAGACTGGTGTGCATCCCCTGCCAGTTATCAGGAGCCAGGGTCAGCATAATGCCTGGATACCAACAACACCTACTCCAACAAGGTCACACCTCTTAAAGACTGTCAGGTAGTAACACTCCCTAATGACCAGGTATTCAAATATATGAGCCTATGGGGAGCATTCCTATTTAAACCACTTGTCTTAGTTAGTGTTCTATTGTTGTAAAGAGACACCATGATCTCAGCAACTATTTTTGTTTTGTTTTTGAGACAGGGTTTCTCTATGTAACAGCCCTTGCTGTTCTGGAACTTGCTTTGTAGACCAGGCTGGCCTCAAACTCAGAGATCCACCTGCCTCTGCCTCCCAAGTACTGGGATTAAAGGTGGCACCATTACCACCAGGCTACCTCAGCAATTCTTACAAAGGAAAACATTTAATTGGGACTGGTTTACAGTTCAGAGATTTAGTCCATTATTGTCATAGTGGGAAGCATGGTGGGCATGCAGGCAGACATGATGTTATAAGAAGAGCTGGGAGTTCTGCAACCACATTGGTAGCAGGAGGAAGAAAACTGGCTTGAGCTTCTGAGACCTCAAAACCCACCCCCTAGTGACACACTTCCTCTAGCAAGGCCATACCTTCTAATAGTGCCACTCCCATGGACCAAGCATTCAAGCACATAAGTCTTTGGGAGCCAGACCTATCATACCGCCATATTACCACACCAGATGAAAAAGCTAGATATGAGGCTGGAGATATGGCTCAGTGGATAAGAGCATTGCCTGCTCTTCTAGAGAACTGGGGTTTAATTCCCAGCACCCATCTGGTGACTCACAACATTTGTAACTCCACTTCCAACACCCTTTTCTACCCTCTGTGGGCACTGGGCATGCACAAACATACATGTACTCTCACACACACTTAAAAAAAAAAACAAATATGATGATTCGAATCTGTAATCCAAGTATTCCTACACTAAGGCAACAGGCACACAAAAATGGCATAACTTTCCAGATAGCTAGTGTAGAGTGCAAATCATGGCAGAAACAAGACCCTGTCTCAACAAGATGAAAAGTGAGAACTCCAAAAGTTATCCTCTGACCTCCATGTATGTGTTGTAACACACACACACACACACACACACACACACACACACACCAGTTATTAGTTTGTACCTCAAAAGTCCTGAATGCTTATAAAGGGCAGTGCCATCACTTTACACTTAGTGTGTGCATTTTATTTGTCTAGCTTTATACTAGGTGGTGGGAACAAAGAGAACAGACTCTGTCCTCAAGTTGCTCACTGTTAGCACAGTGGTAGTTGTTAACAAGCATTTCTCTTCCCTGATGGAGCTCAGTCTGATAAAGCAACGCCTTTGAAAGGACAAAGGAAAAATCAAAGGAAAGAAAGTCAGCATGATAGCACATGTCTACAGTCCCACCACTGGGGGTACAGACATCTATCCCAGATTAAATAGTAGTTACTCTTGAATTTACTGGGACCCTCCTGCCTCAGCCCTCCTTGGTTTACAGGATTGAACCAACACACTGGGCTCATTAACTGCTTTTCCAAACAACAGTTTTAGCAATTTCTGACACTTCGAAGAAACTGTTAATTCAATTGGTTGTTAAGAGCTAACATTATCGCTGGGCTGTGGTGGTGCATGCCTTTAGTACCAGCACTCAGGAGGCAGAGGCAGGTAGATTTCTGTGAGTTCGAGACCAGCCTGGTCTACAAGAGCTAGTTCCAGGATAGGTTCCAAAACCACAGAGAAACCCTGTCTCAAAAACAAAACAACAACAACAAAAAAGAGCTAACATTATCACAATGTGGTTGGAAGATTGTGATAAGCTACTCCAGTCAGCTGCAAGTAGATGTTGACATTTTCTCTGGAGTGGGTTGGGGAATGCAAATCTTGAGTGTGAAATGGATTTATTATTGACAGGGATGAAAAGATGAAAATGGTGGTGCTGTACAGTTTCCAGTGGTTTACACCAGAAGATCTTGAGTTCAAGTCAGCCTGGGCCATACAGTCAGATCTTGTCTCAAAACACACAAGGAAAAAAAGTCATCTGCAAAACATAGTTAAAGCTGAGTGTGGTGGTGCACCTGCAAGCAATTACAGCATTTGGAAAGTGGAGATAAAAGGGTTAGGAGTTCATCTGTCCCTGCTTCAAACAAACAAACCCGATCCACCCTAAAAGAAAAAAAAAAAAATCCATTTGAGGACTTGCTTTAAAAAGTAACGGAGAGGGACTGGAGAGATGGTTAAGAGGTTAAGAGTTCCTGAGTTCAATTCTAGCAACCACATGCCGCTAACAACTATTCATAATGAGACCCAGTGGCATGCAGGCATATATTCAAGCAAAACACTGTATACATTTCTTTTTTTATATAGTTATTGAGGGCTTTGTGTTTAGCTCTGTCTTTAGGCCAAATTCTCACTTAGCTTCTTTACAATACAAATGTTTAAAATCAGATTTCCAACTTAGATCTCGATTTTTTTTAACGATTTTATTTATTTATACAACATTCTGCTTCCACGTATATCTGCATACCAGAAGGGGGTACCTCATTAGGGATGATGGTTGTGAGCCATCATCATGTGGTTGCTGGGAATTGAAGTCAGGACCTCTGGAAGAGCAGTTGGTACTCTTAACCTCTGAGCCATCTCTCCAGCCTTTAGATCTTGATTTAAAAAAATAACCTAAAGCTGTTAAAACATTTTTCTACACATTATTCCATAATTTCCAAGCAGGTTAGTTGCATTCAGATTAGACTCTTTTCAGAGGAAGTAAAATTAACAGTATGTTTTCCTCTGTCTTGGTCTCCACAGGTGAATTACAGGAGAATTTAAAGGTATTTGGGTTTTTCCTACTTCCTGCAGTAATGACTAAAGGTGAACTGCCTTTCTCTGAACTGTCTTTCTCCTTGCTTGTTACTTCCCCCACATTTACTAAAATGCAACCTGCAAGTATGAGATGCAGTTATTATTAAAGTTGACAAATCCAGCCACTCAAAAGGAAACCACTTCACCTAATGGCGGATAAGGAACTGGAAGCATCAAAATAGCCCTATTAGGTACTGTTGGGTACATTAAGAAATATGACAATCATGATTAATTTATAAATCTCCTGGCAGGGAGGAGGAATGCATGGAAAAAAAAGTTCAAGTGAGGGTTTTTAATGACTAGTCAAACATAATGTGAGTCATTAAAAGTTTCCAGTCAACAATCCCTTCCGTACATCCTGTACATCCTGGGCCCATTCCTTTATGAGCCACACTGCAGTTTAAACTGTAACATCTCACGGTTTTACTGCCTCTTCACAAATAAATACATAAAAGGAAAGACACTCCCCGCCGGCTTTGAAATGTAGGGCAAACTGGTTGGGGGTGGCGAGAAAAAGAACAAGGTACAGAGACTGACTGGAAGGCAGAGAAGGCAGAAAGGGTGTTGAAAGTGGGGAAGGAAAAAAAGTGTTTTCCCCTAGGTTAGGCCTGCAGTCAGTGTCCTTACAGGCTGGGGGTGATCCTCCTCGTTTGTTGAAGGGCCCGGCCCACCATCCTGCCTCATCAAAATAGGGCCTGCCCCTGCCCCCACCCTGGGACAGACGGGGCAGCCGATCGGCCACCAGACCTCTGCCTCCTCGCGCTGCTTGCCGGGAGCTCCAGCCGCTTCCGGTGACGCTTGATCGCTGAACTCCGACTCCCGTCGGTCCCCGGGAAAACCGCAGCAGGCCTGCGCGGGTCCTTTCGGAACTTGTAGTTTAGCTGTCGGCCGAGTTTCGTAGGCGGAAACGGGGGCTAACATAGCCGGGAACTACCGAGGCGAAGGTACGGGTAGTAGCGAGGGGTCAATTCACGCCAAGCGTGGGGTTGGCGGTGAGGCCGGCGGCGGTAGTTGGAGTTGGGTGGGAGGAGATCCTTTCGCACACACGAGGAGGGTTGAGCCGCTGTCGCTGCGGTCGCGAGTGCCCAGTCCGGACTGCAGCTGCCGCCCAAGACGCCGAGAAGTGAGTCTTTGGCCGCTGGCCCTTCTGTCTTGTCGTCCTCTCTGGGTCAGCTCGGCCTGCTCCTCCCCGGTCGGCCGCCCCCGCCTCCATTTCCCGGGCCGGGGCCTTGCAGCCTTGGCTCCATGGCCGGGATGGCCGAGGCCCAGCGTGAGAACCTCAGTGCGGCCTTCAGCCGGCAACTCAACGTCAACGCCAAGCCCTTCGTCCCCAACGTCCACGCCGCAGAATTCGTGCCGTCCTTCCTGCGGGGCCCGGCCCAGCCGCCGCCATCCCCAGCTGGCGCGGCCGGCGGCCGC